CACCCTTAGGAGCAGCACCCCTCCCCTAGAGACGTACATTTCATCCTGGACTTGTTGTCGCTTGGCAGGCGCAACCAGTTTCAATATCCACGAAACACCCGTCGGATGGTTGGTGCTGTTGCTGAACTGCGTCAAACAGCGTACTGGCTCAAAAGCCTTGGGCCATTTGATATCGGTCATTTTGCATATAGAAAAATAACATGTCTGACACTGAAGAGAGTTGGGACGCTGCGAGTGAGGAAGAGGAAGTTCCCGCTAAGCCCGTAGCCGCCAAGTCGCCGGTAGCCGCCAAGCCCGTAGCCGCCAAGTCGCCGGTGGCTGGGAAGCCGGCAAAGTCGCCAGTTGCAGCAGAGTACGGTGTGGCTGTTAAGGAGTTTAAGGTTCCTGCCAGGTTACTGACGCCATGTGACGACCCGGAGCAAGAACGGTTGCGGTTGCAGAAGATAAACGAGCTGCGTGAGCGACAGATGGCTGGCGACATGTTCGGTCTGGACGACCATGACTCTAGTTCCGAGGATTCGGACGACCCGTTCAACTTTAGAGCTAAAGCTCTTGTCGAGGGAGCTAAGAAGAAGGCCGTCGCCAAAGAGCCGGAAGTTACCAAGGACCCGTATGAGGGTGTCAAGGTGAACAGGCTAACCGAAGTCGACGCTCTCTGCGACAACTTACAAATCAAAATTTCCAAGTCGCCGGCCAAGTCAGGCATCTGGCTCCAGTTCCTAGATAGACTGCTCGGAATGGTCGCAGGCAAGATGGAGCCCTCAGACCTCCAAAGCTTCGAGAAGAAACTACGGGACGCCATTGCCCGGAGAACCAGAGAGAAGAACATTCAATTCTCCTCATCCAAAAAAGGCACTGACCTGAAAGTAAATCTTAAGAACCCTCAGGCAGAGCTGGCCGTTGTGGAGGGTTATGATGACGACGCAGACGACTATTCGGACGACGACTATGACTATGAGTTCGATTAGGTGTGCGACTAATAGGATAGCGTGTCTTCCCACGTTCTCAGAACGCCGAGTGGTCAGAATAATGGCCAGAATGATGGTCTGAGTTAGCTCGGTGAAATATCTTGGCTGTAGCAGTAATCTGGTGGTGGGCCTTAATGCAGTGCGTTCACCGCCCCATTTTTCTCAATGAAGGACTTCTGTCACAGTTTAAAACTACCGTGCTACAGTGGTTGCCCGCCACCTTTTTTCTAAAGGCCGTTGATGCAGAAAAGGCCCAACAGTAAGGCACCTGTTCGTCACACTTATAACTTCAGATCAACAGATGCAACAGGCGGTGTCAAAGCGAAGCAGGCTAGGATCAGTCGCGGAAGGTAAGGAGGGTTCCCATCACCTCACGGGTGTCCATGCTTATGGGTGTCATCACCTCACGGGTGTCCATGCTTATGGGTGTCACGCCCATTGGTGCCACGCCCATTGGTGCCACGCCCATTGGTGCCACGCCCATTGGTGCCAAGCGGGATTACTATTTCGGCGGGTACACACGGGAAGCGCTTACCTGACACACGGGAGTGCTTTCACGGATGAATGTTCCCGCGGACGAGTTGAAACTGTGCCCCTGGTGACTGTTTTAACCCCAGAGTTGCCGGCCTTGGCCCAAGGCGAGAATGAGTTATTAGTGCGTTTGAATCATGAGGATGATGGTATGCCAATAGCGGGAGACCCTCGATGCATTCGACAGGAGGACTTGGAGGTGGTGGTGAAACCTAGTGTTATGTTTTTGGCGAGCGAACACAAGACGTGTGATTTGTGTCTGGATTTCGAGGTAGTCCAAGTGCGACTGAACATAGGTGGCCTTGCATTCCGCGATATTACTAGTAACCCCTGGGTGTTGCAGGACGCGCAGATAGCGGTGACTGTGATGCACCCGACGGAACCTTTACAGCTGACCAGCTGGACGTCTTACCGAAGTACAGAGAGCCACAAGACGATGACGATGCAGGGACTACATTTAGACAAGTACTCGTACCAACATCCGGATGACCCGGGCGTAATAGGTACGAGCAAGAGGGTAGAGCAGGGTGCTGGGTACGACCAGACGACTGGATACGAACAGGGCGTTGGGTATGACCAAAGTGCTGGATACGACCAGAGTGCTGCATACGACCAGTCGGTGATGTTGGTGAGGTGGGAGGCGCGATTCCCCATGGTTACCATAAGGTGTGGACCGTACAAGGGTTTGCGCAATCACGGGTGCACGTGCTACTTGAACTCGCTACTGCAGTGTTTGTTTCATTTATCTAGCTTCCGGAAGTTCATTTACCAGACTACTCTGGAGGAGGACCAGCTGCTTTACGATAAGGTCGCCAAGTATCTGCACTCAAAAAAGTATTCCGAGTCCAGCTCGACATACCAGCTGGACGACCTCTTCCGATGCCTCAACCATGAACTACAAGACAGTCCCTTTGACGGCGCCCTCTCACCCGAAGAACTTGTACAATTAAGTCCCGAAAGACGGACGGTCTGCGGGCTAACGAGAGATGAATTCAAACCACGACTTAGCACTCATGGCGCCCTCCAAAAAATATTCATGCAACTGCAGCCCAACTCACCTCTCGAACAGTACTTCCTGTCCCATGAAACTCACCTTGAACCACCCGGAATGGAGCGCCTTGGTATCGATCCACACGCATATGCCACGGCACACCAAGCTAGGACCGGAAGGGTGGCCCAGAACGTAAAGACGGTCGAGGACGGAACGACGGCTCAGTATGGAAGGTCGGTCGAGGACGGAACGACATGCAAGGCATCAGCCCTCGAGACGTCGACCGCCCAAACGTCGGCTGCCGAAAGCAGTGGCCAGACGGGGGGCGAGGCATTGCCGAAATGCAGGCTGCCTCGACCCAGCGGTGTGGTGGAATGCCTGCCGCTTTTAAGTTCCTTCGGTTGGATGGGCAACGACCTCTTTATTCAACACGACGTTCAAGAACTGAATAGACTGCTTTGTGACAAGTTGGAGTCGGAGTGTCCCGATCCCACGAAGGCTGCAGAGAGCAAGGTGGCAGGGGAGAAGGTCGTTGCGGCCGCAGAAGTTTCCCCCAAAGTTGCATCTGTGGAAGAAGTTAAGGAAGCGGAGACTGCCACTACAACGGATGGACGGATGTCGGCTCGAGACGCTTTGAAGGAGATGTTTGGAGGCTTGACGGAGTGTTACGTAAGGTGTGCGGAGGTTAATTATAGTAGTGTCCATGACGAGGAGTTTTATGACGTTCAGTTGGATGTCCCTTCTACAGGGGAGTGCACTCAATCCTGTGCCCCGCTACCTGGCCAGGCACCGAATCGACGTTCTTGTCTATGCACCAGACAGACAAGAGAGCAGACCGGCATCTGCCCCTGCCAGTGCCAGTGCATCGAGGGTTGCTTCGACCGCTATGTACAGCCCGAACTCCTCGAGGGGATTGCCATTGAGAAACACGGCCAACGAGATGCCATTAAGGGACAAACCATAAAGGTATCCCCTGACATTCTCCAGCTCCATCTTAAGAGGTTTAAATATGACATTACCAACATCATCAAAATTAATAACTATCTCCAATTCCCTGGTACTCTAGATCTTGGTAAATGGAAAACAGCACACCTTTCAGACACTCACAGATCAGATACCAAACCACCCTCGGATTTCCAGCCATCAGATGCACAGCCATCAGGCAAACTGGATACCAAAGGACCAGACGGGAATCAGTCCAAGAACACCAGCAACAAGGATGCGGGAGTTAAGAAGGACATCGGGGTTAAGAAGGACACGGGAGTTAAGAAGGACGCGGGAGTTAAGAAGGACGCGAAGGACGAGATGAAGGACGACGCGAAGGACGAGATGAAGGACGACGCGAAGGGCGAGATGAAGGACGACGCGAAGGACGAGGTGAAGGACGACGCGAAGGACGAGGTGAAGGACGACGTTTACGAGCTGGTCGGTGTCATCATTCATCAAGGCGACATAAATAACGGCCACTACTACAGCTACATCAAGTGTCCGGTAGCGGGAGTACCTTTGATGGACACGATCGGGGGGCAGATGGTTAAAGGTACCCCCGGGTTTCAATGGTACTTGTTCGATGATGACACTGTATACATGACCAACGAGTATTCGGCAACACAAAACAACTATGGTGGTCCTTACCAGCAGCTGAAGCCCAAGACGAGGGCCATCGATGTGGCTGCGCCCCAGGTAAGAGGTGCGGCGCACGGTAGGTGGGGTTATAGTTCAAGCAGCGGAGGGTTGCTTGGAGGAGAGCGTTTAAAAATCGAGGCTCCCACGAACGCAGATGGGGAAGGATCCCTCCTGACCGGCTCTAGTCCCCTGACCAGTTCCAGTCCATTGTCTAGCTCAAGTCCCCTGCCTAGCTCAGGTGCTGTTGCTAGCTCATCCGCCATGCCTAGTCCCCTGAATTGTAGTAGTAGCGTGGCGGGCAGTTTCGCTGACCGCGTGTCGACTCCCACGGACTGGTTCCAGACTCCGGCAGACGTTTATTTAGATGGTCAAGAGGAGGGATTCCTGACTCGGCTGAAAGAGACACCGCTACCGTCTTCTGCCAGTCCCGCTGCTTTCCCGGGACGACTGCTCGGCGGCGTGATTGAAGGCGGGGGCATGTACGAGTACGACGCGGGTTCCTGCCGCCGTCGCGGGGGCACACACGACCAGTACGAACTTGACGAACACGACGGGCCGGACGAGGTGGGTGGTGCCAACTTTGGTGTTTCATCCGCAGGAGGAGGTCTACATTCTGGAGGCCTTCATTCCGGAGGGACCATTCCTTCCGCTGCTCCACCAGTGAAAGCTCCAGCGGTTCTACGTTCAGACTCTGCGTATATACTGCTATACGTGAGAAAAGAAAACGTCCCGAAGATCATGCAATCGGAAGACGTTTGGACCACCTCACCAGGCTTGGTCACTCGCCTCTGCATCGGTGCCGCCTGTGAAGCTTTCCAACAACGACTTAACGACCGTCTGGCAGGTTGTCTACGGGTCGTTACTTACACACCTAGCTACATAATAAGACATACCACGTGGGTTAAGAATACTTGGTACAGTCTGAAGGAGCTGGACCACCATGTCGACTACTCTACGGACGGCGCCAAGACCCAGACAAATCCTAAGGAAGAACTCCTTCTCCAGGAAGAAAAAGGCTTGAAGGAGGGAGACACGTCGAAGATGACGACACTCGACACGGAGACCGGCTCATCTGTGTTGAACGGAAACGCTCTGCCGGACCTGCGACCAGAGGGCAAGTCTGTCTACTTGCGACCGCCCAACGAGTTTACGCATAGTTTCTGGACGGTCGTGTCGTGTGCCGAAAAGCGCACCAATTTTGCCCTCTACTACTTCGATGTGTACCGCCCTTCAGACAAGACTGCAGCGTCCAAGTTAGGTAATGAACACGGGAAGCCGAGTGCTCCAGAATATGGTTTCGCGTTATGGCCCATGGAATACGAGAAAACCTCGTCCAACGGTAGCCGAGTATACACTTCACTGGAAAAGAACAAAGGGTATTTGGACAAGAGTCTCAGCTGCGAGCCAGTGCTAATAACCCTGGTGGCCGACACAGTTTCTGAAGACGAAGGCGATATCGCGACGACCATAGACCCCAACGACATCATCAGTAGACAGGATGCTTGGCGAACTATCGCAGTCAAAATATTTGACCCCTTTGTTCCGGCCACATTCTTCTTGGGATGTATGTCCCTTAAGAAGCCATCAAAGGACATTCTCCAGGAGGAGTTTGTTAAAGCACTCAGGATGCCGCTTGTGGAGGCTTGGACGAGGTACCCGGATATCTACAAGACGCAAGGCATGAGTCACCAGCTTCGCGACTATTTGGACCACCTATGCCAACTGCCCGTGACCGACTTGGAGAACGTCTTGGTCACACGCACGCGTTTCTTCCTCGAGAATAGAGGCTCCTTTGAACCAACCGACTTTCCAAAGCTACGCCAAATGGGCCTCTTGTCACGCGTTGTTTGCACTACCTTCATCGACCTAGAACACCAATACGAGGAAGGCAACTACCGAACGAAACATGTACTAACAGATTCCTTCTGGCCGAGAGTTGAAGACTTTACTGCCTGTAGACGATATTCCAGTGCACTATCTGACCAACTACTTCCCAACCAGCATCTGACGAACCAGCCCGACCAACCTACCACGGAACACTCAGAAGTGTACATTGTACCCTCGGACCCCGACGAAGAGCCGGGTCCAAGACCGGTTTTGAACGCCACAACCGCCCCCAGCGACGTGCGACTGTATGGCGGTCAGGGCACGTGGTCAGAGGACTCGACCGAGAAGCCCAGGGGCGTTGGTGTCCCTCCATTCCCACTAGTCGACTCGAGCGTCTTGGTCTCTGTCCGCTCACTCGGACAGAACGCCATGATGCACGCTGTTCCTGACGGCCTGTGGCAGAGTACTAACACCGGGGGCCCCACGACCGGTTCTGGACCCGGTGTTTCTGGCTCGGGTGTTAAAAGCGGTGTTGGCGCAGAAACGGAGGCGGAGGGGGACGTGGCGTGCAGTCCGATGGCAGTGTTGCGGGACATGCGTCGTTTCCGGCGAGTGGTAGCACAGGAGTGTGATCTAGGGTGGCTGGCATTAGCGATCACAGCGCCAGAGGACGCTCCGGCGCACGAACGTGCGGTAAAAAAGGAGGTGGTGCTCACGGTCGACTTGGAGTGGTCGGTACCCGAATTGTTTGCGGCACTGGGTGCTGCACTGGGCTGCAGTAACCCCTACCGGCTCCTGGTTACGGGTTCCCTTCCTGTCGCATGGAGTCTCTCAGGTTCGCTTGTGTGGGAGGAAAGTTTCCTCTCTCTCTTCGGCCAAACTTGTGCGCGAAACGGCCGCTCCGCCCGCAACCTTCTAGCCGCCTTCGCTTCCGTGCAAATGCGACATGGTTACGTCCCCGCCGTCAGTAACCTCGCTCTCCTCAAAGACAATTATCTTCTCCCCATCTCCCTCGGCGTCGTCATCGCACAGAAACCGCTACTCGGCCCACACCGCCTGGTATCCGTCTACAGCGAGCCCTGGCGTGCCACTCCCGCTGCACTCATTCTCAACTGCGGACTGTCCACGCAAATCGGTAACTCACCAACCGTCCCGTCCCCCGTCCCGTCCCCCGTCCCGTCCCCCGTCCCGTCCCCCGTTCCGTCCCCCGTCCCGTCGCCCATCCCATCCCCCGTCATCCTTTTCCCCTTCTCACCTAGTGACCAAGTCTTCCCTCTGTGTGGGTGTGTGCCCGTATTGCCTTCCGTCTTGACGTGTGTTCGTCTTCAAGTCTATAGCTGTTTTTGTAGACGCGGACTTTGGCAGGAAGGTCTATAAGCGTCTCGGACTCACCCGCGAGGCGACGACTGTCTTTAGTGAGGACTCAATGCGACTAGACGCGTTTCCGGAGTTGCAACGGGAGTGTCGCTGGCTGGAAATCAAGTTCCGTAATCCCGACCGATCTGCAGCCATGGTACCGGTGCTGGATAATACCACAGTTGGGGATATTATGCATAAGGTGGGCTTCCGTGGCGAAATGAAGGACTACGAATTTGTCGTCCACACCAGTCATGCAAAACGGAACCTAACCGACCCTAAAAGTGAGCACACACACTTGGGCACACACGCACTCCGCACACTCTGGACACCGCACACTCTGGACACCGCACACTCTGGACACGCGTCGTACCCACTGTGAATACACACACTCACTCATCACGCGCGCTGATTGATGTCATCCTGATGTCACTCACTCTTCACTCCTTTAACTGTTTGCTATAACGAACCTGTGTTTAGAGACCGCAATACCAAACGGAACTGCAAAACTGGTGACGGCTATGGGGCTGCCATGGTGGAACGCCCAGGTCGTGATAACTGGAAAGACGACGCAGAAACAGTGCGGACCTGGACGACAGATGGCGTTTAAGTGAGCCGTTCTGGGAAACGAGTTAGCTGCACTTTGATCGAGTCTTTGTGACTGAGATTCTTTAGACCGAAATACTTATTTAGTGGAACTTGAGCAATGGCTTCTTAAAATATATGGAGTCGCTCGGAAAGAGGGTGCCTTCTGGCCGTGAGTGAGTGGGCGGGTGGGGGGAAAGGACTCGTGGCGAGTGGGGGAAGGTAATGTACTGGAATCCATTTTATAGGCTGCGGCTTCACCGATTTTGATTGCTAGAATAGGAACCTCAATCGTGCTATCATACAGCTTGATATCCAGAAAGTGTTCTTCATCTTTTAGGTTGCCAACGGACTGCTTGGGGGCCAAGTGGACAACAATAACCTGACATAAGGGCCCGTTCAACACAGACTGCACGATAAGTTTATCGTTAACTTTAACGAACATATCATCTGAAAAACGTCCAGTAGTCTCTCCCACGTTTCGATGAGTTTCTCAGTGCCGGATATCTCAGTGTCGGATATCTCTGTGTCGGGTTACCCTTTGGGAGTTTGCATGGCTCATCCAGGGCTTCCGGTACGGTCGGAAAGATTGCGTCAAACAACTCCATCCGTCAAGCCCGCACCTCTAATACTCGTCGACAGTCGTACTCGGAATAGTTGGTTAAATTTCGGGTTGCGTGCTGGTACAAGCAAAATCACATCGGTTCAGACTCGAACATTGACCCAGGCAGGCAGGCAGTCAGGCAGGCAGGTTCTGAAGCGGGTCGGTTCTGCAATAAAGTCGGACCCGAGTATATTGAGTGAGTATATGGAACTAAACATTGGTGGGCATTGGCGGGCATTGGTGGGCATTGGCGGGGAGTGGAGGCGATTTGAGACTGGGAAGGGATGTGAGCTGATCTCCGG